CCCCCCCCCCTGCAAAGCCCCCCCCAAAGCCCTTCGGGCTCTATGCAAGGGAAGGGGCTGCATTCCTTGCTCGGACCCGGCATCGCGGGGGAGGAACCCACTGCATTTTGGCGTTTTGCTGGGAGCCAGTGCCTGTTGATGAACAAAACCTCGCATGAGACACCCCCGGGGTGAGTCATGGTCCCTGCGCAAGTGGGAGGAAGCAACCGCCTTTTAAAAAAGACGTCCGGGGTCTCGGGGTGAACATTGCCCAGGGAAGCAGTGGGTGAAAGAGGCTTGGTGAAACTCCTGGGAGGGCCAGGTGCCTTTGAACCTGGCTCCATCCACAGGGTACTTTGTGAATGACCACGGAGGAAAAAAGTCTGCATCAGGAGCAAGAAGCTGGAAAATGAGGATTTTCCTAGTTTGGACCGTTTACCCAGTTTGGACCCTTTTCCCAGTTTGGAGCCTTTTCCCAGGTGAGACCCAAGAGCACAGGTCAGGAGGTGTCCCCCCCCCTCTACGGGCTCTGGCAGAGCTGCAGAGACGCTGGGACCGAGCCAGCCCAGGAAGCTCACTGCGGTCATGGCGAGAGCCCAGCTGAAGCTGTCCTTTTCCTGTGGCCAGGGGACGGCTACATGGGGTGATCTCTGAGATGTGCTTGTATTGCTGTTATATGGTAATAAGGCTTTTTGCTCATTTAATTACCTGCACGCTTGACTGGGGGGGTCTTTTTTTAATGACTGGGCACACCTCATCTTGCACCGCTCCCCGGCATCCCCCGAGCATCCCAGGCTCAGATCCCTCCCAGTCCCCCAAGATGATGCCAGTATGAGCTTGCAGCACCTCTCCCTGTCCCCCACAGGTGGCTGGGCAGTGACAGGTCCCAAGGAGGTGACAGCCAAACAGGGCAGCTCGCTGGAAGTGTCCTGCAGCTACAAGCCAGGCTACGAGCTCTACCCCAAGTACTGGTGCCGCCCGGGCTTTCTCTGGTTTTGCTTCACCTACATCGCCCAAACCAACGGCTCCGAGGTGACTGTGACACAGGGCAGGGTGTCCATCAGGGACAACCACACATCACGCTCATTCGTGGTGACACTGAGTGGTGTCACGACAGAGGACGCAGACTGGTACTCCTGCGGGGTGAAGAGAACACTGTGGTTCAACCTGCAGCACAGCATGGAGGTGATGGTCTCTCCAGGTAAAGCTGGACCAGGAGCAAAGCAGGGGCATGGGATTGAGCCCATCACTTGGGTCACAGAGCTGGGGACAGGGCCTTCCCAGCCAGGAGAACATAGGGGTTGTCAAAGCGGGAACAAGCTCCTTGAAGGCACTGAGACCTGCTGGAGGCTGCCCCAGTGCAAATTTGGGTGAGGGACAGAGGAGGCTGTACAGAGCTTCACACAGAGCCAAGCCTCTCCCTTGCTCCTGTTCAGCACCTCTGCTTCCACAAGCCTGTCCTTTGGGGTTTCTTGTCCCTCCCAGTAAAAACCTTTTTCTTCCTCCTCCCCCCAGTGCCCAGTGCATTGCTTGGAGATCCCCGTCTCTACCTCCTGCACCTCCGTGGCCAAAGTCTAGGGGCAGACACCCCCTGAACAGGGGGCAGGATGGAGAGTCGGGGTGGGGTCTCCACTTTCCTCTGACTCTCTGTGTTTTCTTCACAGCTGTTCCAACCACGACCAAGGCCAGTGACATGTTGACCACCGAGCCGCTGGGCTCCACGGGCTGTGAGCAGCTGTGAGTCAGGGCTCGGGCTCTAGGCAAGCTCCCAGCCACATCCCCCAGCCTAAGACAACTTCTCCCCCGAATGCATCCCCCAGCTCTGGGTCCTCCTGGTTGCAGGAGTCCCAAAGAGCATCCCGGGGACAAGTAGGGTGGCTGGCAGATGTGCAAGTGCCCCAGTCCCCATCCTCGGTGCCCAGCCCTTGCTCAAGCTCTAGCATCACCTTCTTTCTCCTACCCAGGTCCCAGCTTGTGATCACCCACCTGCTGCTCTTCCTCAGCGTGAAGGTGCCCGTGGTGCTGGCCCTGGCCTGTGGGGTTGTGTGGGTCAGAAGCCGACTCAGGAGCCGCAACAAGGAAAACCTACAGCTCCTCGAGGCTACCAGCAGCACCGAGACACTGGGCTGCCCACCTACCCCGACCACCCCAGAGCCACAGGGACACCCTCCTGTCCCCTTGCCCCCCATCCTGCCCGGGCTGTGCCATCCATCACGGTCGCCCCGTGCCAAGAATTGCTGTGAACCGGGTGCTTCTCCCTCCCTGAGGCCCCGGCCCCTCCTGGCAGCCCCTGCGCTGGGGAGGGGAGGGTCTGGGGCCCAGAGAACCTGTGTCTGCTGAGCTGGAGCTGCCAACTGAAGACAATTTTGCAATAAAGCCTGGGTACCCTGCAGGTATCTGTCTGTCTGTCTGTCTGTTCATCTGCCTGCTCCCTCCTTTGGCTGCTGGCACTGCCTGGGGTGCTGGTGGCTGCTGATACTGATGTGTGGGGCTCTGGTGTGGCTGGGGGGCACGCGGGGTCAGAGGGGGCCATATGGGCATCTACTCCACCATGGTCTGGCTGAGCGCTGGCACAGGGAGAGTACCCCTCAGCCCTTCCAGCCCTGCCCCGTGCAACCAAATGCCCATCTCCAGCTGAGCTAGAGCCAGGGCTCAGTGTCCTTCCACGGCTGCCTCCTCCTCCTCTACCGCAACTTTCCACCCCCAGAGCGAGAGCAAAGCTCACATGGCACCCAGCTGCACCCTGGGCTCCTTTTCTCGTTTCTCCTATTATCTTCCAGGTTCTGCATCTCCAAAAAGCAGACACCTGCACGCTGCTGAAATCCTGCCAAAACCCTGCTCTTTACCTGTGCTTGTCCCCCACGGGGTGGCTGGCACCAGCAGCCATGTCACGGAGAACAGCGTGGCCACCTCCATCCCTCCCCCAGGCTACACCAAATCCCACATTTCATGGCACAACCAGCTTCACCAGCGTCCCCCACCCCCCCAGAGAGCTTTGGAGAAGAGTCGTTTCTCCTCAGCTTTGTTTAAGGAACCGAAATGCCGGGGGGTGCCAGGAGCAGGCACGAAGCAGGAACTCGCAGCCCGATGCAGCCGCACGTGGCAAAACCTCTGCTGCAGACACAGCAGTTTGTCTGTCTGGAAGGGAGTGAGCTGAGATCCTGGCCGTGTGTCCCAGACCTCCATCTCCCTGCTGCTCTGCTGTCTGCTCCTGCCGGGCAGGTGCTGGGAGCCCACTGGAATCACAGGGGCCAGGGCTGTGCTTCCAGCCCCAGGGGTCCCAGCTCTTCATTTATTTTTGAGTGATTTGAAAGGTCTCCCCTTCCTGAGCCTGGCCAGTGCCACCTCCTGGGTGAACAGGCAGGATTGGGGAAGCTCCAGGAAGGGGACACCGGGGGAGCAGGTGAGACATCCCGTGTCCCCAGAGCGCCCCATCCAGGGACAGTCCCTGGCACTCTCAGGTGGCAACAGCCCTGCCCCAGAAATACCATGTGGGGAGAGGATGGAGGTGGCAGCTCTGAGGCAGAACCACAGAGAAACGCAGAGCTCCCAGGTGGTTCCCTGCAGGAGAAGGGACCCAAGAGCAATGGCACAGGGATGCCCAGAACCCAGCCCAGGTGATGCTCAGGGCAGGGACCCTTCACTCCTGGAGAGCTGCTCTCAGGGGCCAGGGTTCAGGGCAAAGCCTAAGGCAGGGACAGGGACAGGGACAGGGACAGGGACTGCTCAGTTGTGTCTCCACTGAGGAACACCCTCAGCACCGCTAAACTACAACCAAATTGTTGACAATAAAGCTGTCTGCTCTGCTTGCCTCCACCAAGGCCAGAGGCTGCAACGGTACCAGCAGCAGGTCTGTACATACCCAGCTTTGGTCTGAGCCAGGACCAGCCGGTGGCTGTAGGAGGAAGACCCTGGGACACCCAACGTGGTCCCTGCACATGGGTTGCATTGGTCCTGCCTGTCCCCACCTCTCCCCAAACCCTCCCTCAGCCCTGGCAGCTTCTTCCACAGGGCTTGCCCAACCCAGCGCAGGCTCAGCAAATCGCTGATGGGTGGGAGGGAGGATGCTGGGGGGCACTGGTAATTCCAGGGGACAAGGGATGGGGAGGAAGCCTGGAGAGACCAGATTCTTTGTGGGGGTTGCCCTCTCTGTGAAGTGCACACACAAGCAGCGCTAGGAGAGGAAGCCGGAATTCTGGTGCGAAAAAAGAAGAGATTCTCACTGTGCTGCTGACATGGGCATCACCTCGAAGGGTCATCACCTCGAAGGGTCATCACCTCGGAGGTGGTGCTGCAGGACCGACTCCCCGTTCAGGGGTGTTCACAGTGACCACCTGACGGAGGGGGATGCGGGCACCGACCTCTGCGGGGTGCAAACGGGCAAAACCCAGAGTAACAACAAGTCTGTCAAAGTGAAGGTGATCCTGTCCCCAGGTCAGTCCTCACGACTCCCCATCTGCCCCACAAACCAGCAGTAACAGCCACGTCGGGGGGGGCAGGGCTGGGCTGCAGCAGGAGCTGGTACCCGGGGCGGGGAGGAGCGGGACAAGGGGGGGTCAGACCCTGGATGCACCCGCTGCATCAGGCTCGTCCTCGATTTTGCAACCCCGACGCTCAGCCCGGGCCCCGCCATCCCTCCGGACACGGCCGCTCCGGCCCAGGCCCCGTGGGGCAGCCCCAGGCTGTGTTGTCAGGGCTCGACCAGTTGATGCCACAGCAGGTACCACCTTCCCCCATTCCTCATGCCCAGGTCTCACCACAACTCATCATCACCTCGGAGGACAAGCCCACGGTGCGGCAGGGCCGACTCTCCATCCAGGACAATCGTGCACAGCGGGTGTTCACGGTGACCATGGAGGATCTGAGGAAGAAGGATGCGGGCACCTACGTCTGCGGGGTGCGAACGGGCTCATTCCATTCTGATAAGAGTCACAGTGTGAAGGTGTTTGTGTCCCCAGGTCAGTACTTGTGGGTCCCCCAGGTCCAGCACTGGTGTCTTGTGGGCCAAGTGCTGGGAGCCGGGGCTGCAGTGAGGAGCATCCCGAAGGAGGTGGGTGCCCAGGCCCTGGGGGGCAGCCCCAGGCTGTGTCATCAGCAGGTGCCACCTTCACCCATTCCTCATGCCCAGGTCTCACCACAACCCCTCCTGGGCACCCCAGGCTGAGGCACCCCCATCGCTGCTGTGCAGCATCCTGCTCTGATGGGATCCTGCTGGCCCTGTCTGTGATCTCCCTGCCTTTTCTCATAACACCAGTGGTTCCTCACCCCCTCGTGCCACCCTGCCCGTGGGCACCAGGCCCTGGGCTTAGGGAATGTCCCTCTCCTTCCCCTCGCCAGGGACCAGCCCCTGGAGGGGGACACTTGGATGGGGCTGTTGGGTTAGTCCCGGGCTGGGCACGGGGTGCCAAGTCCCCTTCCTGCCCCGAGGGAGTTCTGCTGAAGACACACATGGGGGCGTGCATTTTGGGGGGAGACTGGGGCCACGGAAAACCTCCTGGGGGGGGATTAGAGCCCTCCCAGGCCGGGGAGCATGCTCTGGATGTGGCAGAGGGGACCCGGCATCTCCTGGTGTGACAGTAAGTGGGGTCACTTCTCGGTAATTGCAAAACCCACAGCGTCTTCCCCCGTGGGGGCAGGGAGACCGACTGACCTCTCCTCTGCTTGTGACACCCCCTCTTCTTCCTCCTCAGCATCGCCCTATTCCCCGCCCAGCAGCCCCCCCGATCTCAGGAGCTCTGGATCAGCCCCGACGCTCAGCCCGGGCCCCGCCATCCCTGCGGATACGGCGGCTCCGCCGGGGCCCCCCGAGCCCTTCCGCCTCTTCCCGGTGCTGGCGGGGCTGCAGATGCTGGCCCTGCTGGCCATGAGCGGAGCCGTGCTCTGGGTGAGCCTGCGGGGCGGCTGAGCCCCCGCCGGGGACACCCCTGGGGACAGCCCCGGGGGCCGCCGGCGGCGCCGCTCCGGCCCGGGACGCCCCGGCCCCGACGGCGCGGGCAGC